AGTCAGTTCCTGATTCTGAGTCTAGGCCTAGTACTACACCCGTTGAGGTGGAGCCCATACAACATGCTGATAGTCCTTTGTTTGCTAATCATGATAATGTTCTCTTACGTGATTCTAATTCTTCTGAATTGCATGTTTTGATTCTTTAGAATTGCATGATTCTGATTCTTCAGAGCATGATATGATACCACCACCACCACTTCGAGTGAGGTGGAGCATTCTCATGTGCATTCAAATGACAATGAATCGCATGATGAGAGTGCCAGTTCTAGTGAAAATGATTTGCATGATTATCAACTTGCTAGAGATAGAAGTATGAGAGTAATTAGGAGAACTGCTAATAGTATGCCTGATTCACTACAACAATTCACTTCCTAAGGTATCACCCAAAAGTGTTACAATATCACCGAAAAGTGTTACATTAGAGAAAATGTAACACTTTTTTACCATTACATTTGTCCATGCTGCATTTGACCTATTGTAATACTTAGTCCCTAATGTAACATTTATGCTTCTAGAAAGTGTTACACTGGGTCTAAAAAGTGTTACATTAGAGAAATATGTAACACTTTTATAGATATGTTAAAACTTTAATGTTACATTAGGCCTAAAATTGTAGTAGTGATTGTGCTTTCTATATGTGTGATACATCTATGTTTGCTTTCTCTGTGTTTGAGACAAATCATAATATTCAAATATAAATATATTCTATTAATAATCATAATTACACAATCTTATCAAAGCATGCATGTGAATGCTAGTGCATTGTACTCTGATGACATTATTAATTTCTCTCTGAAAGAAGGTTGCAAGTTCGTGTCTCATTCCAATGAAATATATTCAAATTATCATGAGCAATACTATAATATTATGTTTAGAGGGATAATCCATAAAGAGTAGACCTGCTAATTCGTTAAGCTTTATCATGCCTATTTAGGGAGTGTTTGGATCTGATTCTCAAAACTGATTCTGCTGCTTCAGGGAGCAGAAGCAGAAGTTGGAGTGTTTGGGTGAAATTCCAGAAGCATTTCTGGTGCTCTAATTTACTCTCAGAATCAGTTTTTTTAGAAGCTGGTAGGTACCAGCTTCTGAAAACTGATTCTGATTCTGCTTCTGCTTCTGCTTCTACTTTATAAAAGAAGCAGAAGTAGAATCAGTTTCAAACACCCCTTAATTATCATACTCCGTATATAATCAAGCAATGACAAATTAAATTTCACCACAAGGACGAATGGAGGATTAACAAAAGAGTATTTTTACGAGCAAGTGGTCCAATAATGGATCACAATTCACAACCTGAGGATGTAAATTATGGTAGAATTCAACATATACGTACACACTTGATCAGTCATGCGCTGGTTCAAGTCAACGGTCAAGAACCGGCTTTTAGAAATGCATAATGAGTTGTCCAAAAGTAACAAAACCGCCATGTAAACGAAAAGATCGTATTTAATTTGCATAACACACTCATTACAGTTTGAAAAAGCGCCAATTCTCGAGCAAAAATGTCAAATTGGCAGTATAATCAGTGGCTCTTTTAACATAAGTGAAGCAAAATTAAGTCGTTGCCAAACTAATTGAGTAAAATCCTTTTGCAACCCTGAATTGTCGCCCTTAGCTTTGGAAAAATATACTGTTGGAAAAATGTGTGAAAAATTGCATTAAATGGCTATTTTGGGGCAATTTTTTGAGTGGGGTCCACTTCCGATTTGGGTCGGGTCACAGTGGTTTCGGATTGTCCTTGTTAAGGGCTACAATTCGATATATGGTACGCTCAAAACGGATAACGGGTGAATGAGAAATCGCTTTTCGAAGTTTACCCGTTAGAATGGAAAAACTGGGAAAAAGGATAGGTTTCTAGTGTGTTAATTTCCCACACCGGAAAACCCAAGGGATTTGCAACCCTTTATAAAGGGACTCTCCCCTTAAGGAGTTAAGATTCCTAAGGGTAAAGGCTCTCTCCACGCGCGCAGGGGGGTGCAAATCAAATCCCGCACTCGGAGAAGAAAAACCGCGACTTGCGTGCGCGGGCGGCCTGCGGACACGAATGTCGTCCAAAAATCTATCTCTCAAGAGATACGATTAATTTTTGTTTTCTTCCCGAAACGTTTAATTTTTTCCCAGCGGCAGAAGTGCTCGGACAGAAGCCTACGGATCAGAACACCTCGTTGGTGTTCTGATGGCAGAACCCCTCATGGGGTATTCTGATGGCCGCCCATCAGAGTTGGGGGTACTCTGATGGCCGCGGATCAGAGTTGGGGTCTTCTGATTGGCCTCCGATCAGAACCCCTCCCGGGGTGTTCTGATGGAGGTCTTCTGTCGCGCTTCTGAAACGTTACAACAATCAATGCCCAACGTTTATATCTTTTAATGCAGCGTTAAATGGACAGTTCATGGACGATTCAATGCCCAACGGACTGGACATTGATGTCCAACGTTCAGGTCCATTAATTCACTATTTTCACACAACAAATCCTCCTATATAATGGCTGGCAGGTGGTTTGCAACAACACACGTTCTTACACGAACTTACACGAATTCATACACGTTTTGCACCTCTAAAAACACACTGCTAGCAATCTGCAAATTCCTCTGTGTTCATACTGTGTTCTCGTTCGCTGGAACTTTTGTTTGTGTGCTCAAACATTAGTTCGTAGTCATCGTATCCTGGGAAACGATTGTTGCAACGCTCCTAGCACCGTGGGAGGCAACAAATACGTTTTAAGGTCGTGCGTAGCACGAGCTTTGACTAATTCTGCTTCATCTCCTTTCTTGTTTTTCTCTAGTCATTTTATTTTAATTAATTTATTTTAATTAATTTTCTTTATTTTCCGAAACACACCCAACATATACTTTGGTATATATATTACAAAAACTTTACTTCACTCACTTAAATTTGGTAAATCTACATCAAATAATCTCACTCTGCTTTGTGAACAAATAATCTTTAAGTGTTAAAAAGATGCTTTTGCTTATGAATTTTCAATCATACCATATCATAAATTAGAATAAGGATGATAAAAGATGCTTTTGTATATCGTGAGGCCTCGTATCCCAAGTATCATGACTCCTAAAACTACATGTGAAATTGCACCATATATATCCTACCGCTGCATTCTGCACAAAATGTATAAATCAACATCTTTAACAAAATGATACGGGGTAATTATTTGTTGGATGAAGGTGGTAATTGTAATGGTGAAATATATTGGAGTCGACAGTGGTGGAACTAAAACAATAATAAGTAAATGAACTTACACATACATGCGCACACATGCAAATATATACACATACAATTTAAGTGAGAACGATGTATACAATGATATACACACACATCACGGCGGTGGTTAAGAAGGAGACTGGGAGAGCTGCCTCAGTATTGAGGCAATATAAAATAAAATTCATATTTGATAAAGATATGAGTACATAAAATCCCGCCATCTAATATAAAATCCCTAGATAATGCCAGGAAAGATCAGACACACACACACAGAATGAGTTGAAAAAACTGAATATAAAATCCCTAGACACCCGATATAAGTTTTATTTTAGTAATATATTTGAAAAAACCTCTATGATTTTTATATAAATAGTTATTCTATTTGAAATTATTTAAAAAATATTATGTCGCAATGATATAATAGTGAGGACCGCAAAAAGCATTATTTGAACAACATGAATAAAGATGCCGATGAATGATGTATTTCTAGGGAATAAATGATGATTTTATTGAGGCAAATGTTGTATTTTAGTTCTATTCTTTATTGTAAAGAATTCTAAAAACAATTTTAAAAAGCAACAAAGACAAACCGCAAATTCAATCGATTATTGTGTTAGTATGTACTCATACATATATTCGAAACAATCTAAAATAGTTTAAAAATGAAAAAAAATGTTTTTCAAGAAATATCAAGAGTAAATGTAGAAACAACAGTAAATACATTATATTACTTAAATAAAGAATGTGGAAAAAAGTGTGACTTCAATAAACTATAGTATCAATAATACCAACAATGACAACATACTAATAGATTTTGTGTAATTATATTACATTTTTTTGTCCATACAAATTAAAAACCCTTACATCATAAATTCGAAGTTTTAATGTTTAAATGCGATTAAAATTGTGTAATTGATATGAGTTGATTTATTTGATCCGGTTTAATTTGATCTGTTATGAACTGATTTGATATGGTGAAGATATACTTCGCATTTAATATGTACAAAGTATTTTATTATTGTCTGGTATACTTTGATCAGAGTAGGTGTGATATTTTTAAATCTGATTTGATCTATAATACGGAGTAATACTACCATACCTCTATTATTAAATAGATGCTTCATGTGAAATTTTACACAAGTCATATACTCCCTCCGTCCCACTAAGATCTTCATGCTATCCCTTTTTAGCTGTCCTAGAATGATCTTTTCATTTCCCTAAATGGAAAGTTATCCTACATCAAAAAAATGTCAAACAATGCAAAACAATGTCAAACAGTGTCGAATGAGTGTACACATATTTCCTAAATATTTCCCAAATATGTGTATAGGTCAAAGTAGGAAGTTCTTAGCGGGACGGAGAGAGTATTTTAGTTTGACTACATTTCATTTACTGATGTACTACTACATACGTATTATTTAATATTTGAAACGTCGTATCGAATTCCGCTCATTTAAAATTTTCAAAATATGAACTTTTTTTACGAATAAGAAAGGAAATACATCAATGCTCGAACTTGTGCATTGACAAACATGAAAGTAGAAACCGTTCCAATTAAAAAATTAAACTTTTGGTTGGAACCAACGAGAACACCTATGCATTTATGTCTACCAGATTTAAAAAGTGACTTAAAGATTAGAGTTGTATAAGAATTCGAAACTCAATGGAGTGAGTTTCAGCCCTGATTATCCCAGGCCACCAACCCCTCCCCAGACCCCCCACGTACTGTAGTAAAAAAATCGAAATCTATATAAAATCTATAAAAACAAATTTAGAAAACAAAGGCACAAAACAATCTATAAAATTTGAGTAGAGAGCAAAATTTGAAATGTGTTATTTTTCGCAGTTAATAACTCCCTTGCCATTGACTAGAGCAGTAATTCCTTCAGTGAAATATATCCAACAGAGTATCTTCCAGATTTTGATTTTCTGTGATGCTCTTCTTCATGTTAGGCTACGTTCTCTACTTCATCTTCTTCTTCTTCGTCTTTTCCATCCTCACCCAATTCGCCGCCGGAACTTCCTCCAAACCCCTCTCCTACTGGTGTAACAACACAGAAACTTACAATTCCAACAGCTCTTACGGATCCAACGTCGAATCCCTCCTCTCCGATCTCACCACATACGCCTCCCGCGGCTACCGATTCTACAACTCCACCGCCGGCGTCGGCAACGCCACCGCGTACGGCCAGTTCATGTGCCGCGCCGACGTCTCAGCCACCGTCTGCGCCAGGTGCGTGAAGAACGGCGGCGTAGACATAGAGCAGCCGTGCCCGGTTTACAAGACGGTCGTCATCTGGTACGACGAGTGCGTGTTGCGTTACTCGGGCCGGTCTATGTTCGGGAAACTGGACCAGACCTATCCGGTCGTTTTGTACTCGCAGTACGACCCCAGACCGGACCGGTTCATGCGGTGGGTGGATATGGCTCTGTCTAAGACGGTGAACCGCATCACCGGCAAGAGTTTTGCGTTCGGGGAAGATAAATTCAACGGGAATGAGACGATATACACCGCCGGTCAGTGCACGCCGGATCTTTCCGCGTCGGATTGCGAAGAGTGCCTGACCAGTGCGGCCCAAAATCTGGTCGCGGAGGCTGCCAATAGCGTTCTTTACCAAAGCTGTAATGTCAGGTACGAGGTTTACCCTTTCTACAACGTCACCGCCGCGTTTCCGCCGCCTCTTCCTCCGCCGGCTCTTCCTCCTCGGGTCCATCCTCCCTTGCCCGGCACACGTGCACCTTCTGGTATGGGTCCCCGTGTTTAATTAATTTGTTTACGAGAGTTAATTAAAATGGATATTGATTTTCGGTTTTATTTTATTTATTTAGCATTACATTATAGGATGTTATTACGGTATTGGTTTCAAAGACCAAAAATTGCTTGATCATACCAAATCACTCATAAATCAACATCGAGTAAGACTTAACAAATTCAAATCAAGACTTAAAATATATACGTAGTACTATCGTATACAAATAGATTACCCTTCTTATTAACCAGTTAATATTCCGTACATATATATTGACAATGGCCGATGAAGCGGTCCAGCTCAACTGATCGCCGACTCACTTTCACTTATGTAATATCCCGGATTCAATTCTGAATGAAGTGAGATTAATTGATTCCAGTTTATCTCAAGCTCACCAAACCCCTTGGGGTTAAAAAAAATTGACCATGGCTGAACTAGGATTCCTTAAATTTTCGTTTTGGGGTAATTGGAGAAACATGTCATTATTTAATGTTTTACAGTAAAAAGGTTTAGACACGGAAGACATTTTTTACCTTAGCCCCTAGTTTACGCCTATCTGTGTTGTTCGATGGAATTACAACTAGTCAGCAAATGACACAGGGAAAGTTGAACAAAGAATTCAACGATTTAGATGCAAAAGGGGAAGAAAATACGTTCTGATCAATTATTATGTCGATTGATAGGCAGGATGTTTCTAATTTTCCATGGGTTTTGACGCAATTATTATTAAAATAAAAGTGTTGACGAAAATACAATTAATTTTTGTTTTAGAATTTTCCAAAATATGATTTATACGATTTTTATAACCCACATAGTGACAATGGTACCCTACTGGCCTACTTGCCCCAGTAAAGTGACACCCTACTTTACTTCCCCAGTGACCATCTACTGCTGATAGTGAACTGCCCTCGCCAGTGGAATACCGCCCCCCACCGGTGATCAATCGTCGGTCGCCCATATAACCGCTTTAGTGACTCCAACAATATGGATATTTTTAGATGGTATCACATTCGTCCAAAATTGATTCGTGAAATCAATTTTTTTAGCTAAATAATTTTATTTTATTCACTTAATTATGATATCAGTTTTAATTATATTTGAATTTGAATTTTGCAATTTTATAGAGATTGTAATCTGGTTCCTAAATATGCAAATTTTAATTATTAAAAATTGAATTATTTATAAATAGCGAGGATTTAACTTTAACATTGGTTGATTAAAAATATTGACTTTGCATATCAATTTGGGACGGAGGAAGCATCACGTAACCAAACATGTATCAAATTTGATTTAATGTGAAACAAATATTTTGAATTGTTATGATATTAGACAATTATACATGTTTTTTTTAAGAAAAACCACTTATATTAATATCATTATGATTCAGATCGTTATATCAAACTCAAAGAGACTAACACTGACAACAACTGTCTGCAACCAGCTATCACTACCAACTCTAAGATTAGACATAGAAACGATCACCCCTGAAAGAGCATATGAATCGCTAACCATCAAATGAGTTTGACACAGTAATTATTGGACACACAGATCCTTCTAACGACATAATAACTACCTGAGTTGTCAGTCATTAAACCTAAAGCTAAAGACTTCAACAAAAAACCGACATTACGCGAAAATAAGACCATAAGAAATAAAATAATTGATGAAAGCTCCAAACATCCCTACAACAACATCCTACCGTATTCCCAACTCCTTTCTACCTGTTTTCTTGAAACATCATCTTTCAAATCCTGACACCTCGAACGTTCAAGGGCAGCGGTTCATGAGGGGGCAGACCGTCAATCCGTCTTCTCCCTTGTTCATCCCTTCACCTCTCCATGTCTGCTCGTCACCCATGCCGCCTCCTAATATGGTCGTTGTGTACCTACCCTTCGTGCCCAGCTTCTCCCCTGCTACATCACCCTCCATCCCTCTGCTGCTTGAGCATTGAAATTAGCTAAAAAAACGCGACCAACCTTCTGCTCACTCGTCAAACAAGCAAAGCCCAATTCAACGCCGACCACTCTGTGTATGTCATCCCAAAGATACGTGCAAGTGTCCGATTCAAAAAATGCGAAAGAAGTCACCCCCAACCCTACGTGCATATGCCTAAAAGACCGCTTTCATTATTGACAATTATACCTCTTAATATCAAGTTTTGTTAAGGTTATGTTTGGCAGGCATATGTCTCTGCCTTCTAACTTTTGTACTGTTCAAAAAGTCTCTAAAAGCTTCTAGTTATATGTTTGGCATGACAATTTTTAAGAGCTTTTCAAAAATTTAAAGATCTTATTTGAGATGCTACGGGGAGTAGCATCTGAAAAAAGCTCGTGACTTTTAGTATTAATTAGTCATAACAGCTTGTATACCAAACCGAACTAAATCAAATAGTCATCTTTTTACCAAACAGCTACCACCTTTTCCTTTTAAAATCTTTTCAGTCACTAAAAGCTAACAGTTATTTAAAAGCTTGCAAAAGTATCTTTTTCAGCTAGTTGTGCCAAACATACCTTAATTCTAATAAACCGATCACTTAGTTTATATATATATTGAGGGTTAAAGGGTTAAATAGGCCCATGTACTCATTTATAATGCTCAATCGCCCCCTGAACCCTAAAAAGCTCCAATTCACCCCTGAACTCGATAAAAGTTCAAATTTTCATTTTTTGCAGGTAAAAGTCTAATCACCACCACGTTACCCGGTCAGATGCCAATCGTGCATTCCACGTGACAATTTATGGGGTCGAATAGCCCCCGAACCCGATCAAGTTGTTCAATTTATCCCCTCGACAGTTACAAAGTGTAAAAATTGCAAACTTATTAAATAAGAAATTAAAAAAATTGAAAATACAAATATGAAATAAAATACAAGTTGAAAGTATAAAATATAGACATCTATTAAATAATATAATAAGGAAATATTTATATTCGCGGTAAATTCATAAAAAATAAACAAAAAGAAATTGTCTAAATTTATTTCGATATTTTGAATCAATTTATTTAAAAAGTAAACAATAAAAATTAAAATTAAATTTTTATTTCATGTATTTCAGGTATTATGAAACATATTTTATGTTTTCTATTTTACAATTTATCTTGTTGAGTTCATAGTGTGAATTGGACTTTTTGTGAGTTCAGGGGCTATTTAACACTTTACCGAATACGTAAATCGAGTGTGGCGTAAACAACAATAAGACAAACTAAAGTAACCTTTTAATGAATATTCAAGTTATTTTTAAAAAACTGCAACGTAAGTACATTCAAACTATGCAATACATAGATGATCGAGTTTGTTTTATCTAAGGGTATGTTTAGTTCAAAGTAATCACCTATACAGGTCGGAATCTCATGCCCGGAATATGAAATATCCGTGTTTGGTTCGTAGGTTTATTTTTATGGGGGGAATGTCATATTCCGAAAAAGAAGAGAAAGTAATAGGATGCCCCTTCAATTCATCTCAAACCCACTCAACTCTTAGGTTATCTTACATTCCTTAGTGGGAGTGAATTTTATTCCAAAAATACTCATTCTCATTTAACCAAAATGGTTTAAATAGCATACAAAGTATTTATTTTTTATTTTTCTTAACCCATCTGCATTGGAATTTTTTTAAACAAACCCATTTATATTGGATTAAGAAATACAAAATGTATACTTTTGAATTTGATTTATTAAAAATTAATGAAATAATTACATATTTAATTATTTATGACTAAAATAAAGATTGTTTACAAAAATGTGAGAAGTGACCACAATAGTAATTTAATCATAATAACTTATATTGAACTTTTAAACTTAAATGATCATGATAACTTAATATATGAGGAGGTGGTGTTATTATTAAGAAAAAAGGAGTTAATGTGGTTGATAGTGAATTACGTAGTAATAATTTAGAATAAAGTAAGAATGATTTAGAAGGATCAAACATTAATTTTTTTCACTAGTGGTTGATAGTGAATTACCTTTAGTAGGAGTAAAATATAACATTCAACTTTTCCTTAAATAGGAGTCAATATCTAATATTTCCTAAGTAGGATCAACCATTGATTTTCTACCTCTAATCTAATTAATTAATTGCCCCCTAAGTCCTTGAATAATCAGGTCATTCTATTGGTGACGTGTGGTCCATTGATTTTTTGATCGATGAAAAACGTAGGCTCCTATCGATGAAGACATTCTTTCTCGAGACCCCGATGGTTGTAATAAGGGTATTACGAAAAAATATTTTTAAGGGCATTAAAGTAATTCACCAAGTTTGTTGTATAATATATGATTTAACCAAACAAATTAATGTCACATTCATTTAGTCTCAACCAAACACAAATGGGTACAAATTGAAACATTCTCATTAATCTAACATACCCAGCAATCTAATATTCCCATGGTAATCTGACATTCCTTGAACCAAACATACCCTTAAAAATTTGTATTATTCGAATAGAATAGTAGAACACCATAAACGGTTCCCTTTTGTTCGTCCCAAACTCCAGAATATTTGAAAATGCTGGCCGGTTTAAGAAGGGGTATTTAGGGGAATTTGACTTTACACCTTAGTTTTGTGTTATACGTAGTATTCAACTTTGCATTACATTTTCAAAATCATTGGTGTGCGCATCCTATCACCTTAAAAATTGTAAAAAATTGAGATGTAAAGTCAAATGATTCCATACTAAATTAGTGTACACTGTACACATTAATGATTCTAAAAATGGAGTGTAAAGTCGCATATCAATAAAAAAACATTGGGTGCAAAATCAAAATACCGGGATATTTATTATATGTAATTGTATGCAACAGAACAATATATTGTCATTATGTATGGTGATGACAATAATATTAATAAACAAATTAGTTATGCACATATGGATATTATATATGGTGTTTTTCCCGCGTCATTCTTAACCAATTCAAGTTTAAATCTTATTTAGGGACGAATTTAGCGACTGCTACCCTTAGACCCTCAAATTTGTCTATTATATATGTATAATATTTTCATGGGAAAAACTGTCAATTTGATCCTCGTACTTTCATGAAAAAGTCAATTAGGTCCTTGTACTTTTAAGAAAAACGTTCAATTGGGTCCATTTGCAAGTTACTTGTCATGTCAGCAGGTCACCCGCTGACGTGGTGCACATGTGGCATCCCAATCAGCAATAAATTTGCTGACGTGGAACACGTGTGGAAGTCTAGTCAGCCATTTGCTAATGATGTGGCACACACGTGGACCGCCATATGTGCGCTACGTCAGCGGGTAACCTGCTGACATGGCAAATAACCTGCAAATGGACTCAATTGAACGCTTTTACAAAGTTCGGGGATTTGATTGATCTTTTTAAAAGTACGAGGACCTAATTGACTTTTTCAAGAAAGTACGGGGACCAAATTGACAATTTTCCCTATTTTCATTAAAAAGTTATATTTTCATTAGATATATATGTGTTCACTCTTCTTAATGTTTATTTTTCACAATTAATATATAATCTTACATAATACGTAGTATTATATTTAGGGAAAATTTCTGAAATAGGAGTAAAAATGTTTGAAAAATCCATGACTAATGTGTTTTTATTTCCTAAATAGAAGTAATTATTGTCAAACTTGGAAAATATTGTCATGTTTAAAGTTTAATTTGATACCGCCAAAACTTACTTGGCAGTAATTATTTTTATTTGGGGAATAAAAGCACGACAGTCCTATTTTGGAGGACACAAACATTTTTAATCCTATATAGGGCAATTTCTCTCTAATACTTAATATGAGATTTAATTGGAGAACCTATTAAACCATTTATCCTTACTTGGACAACCTTATTATTATTGTAACATTTAGAACTTCTCGTGACTTACGAACAACTTTGGTAGATAAAAAGTGTAATAAAAATGCGTTCTTTATTTCGATAAGATTCATCCGGTTAAACAAAACATAAGTTATTTGAAAAGTATTGGTGAATGTGTACCATTTAGACTACTTATCTTCAAACAATTCCATAAAATTTTATCCTTTTTACTTTCAAATAATTTTCCTTTCATTTGTCATTTCTTATAAGAGCGTACACTTACACCCGGTTGTACAATGTTCATTGTACACCTGAGTATTTTATGTTATGCTTAATGAGTATAACATTTAAACAAAATGAGTATTGATATTAAATCACTGTATTAGTAGCTAGCGCAATTGAGTATTAGAAACATGCAATTGAGTATAATGATCTATACGTAATATATATGCTACACCTCAACTTATTCATTTAACTATATTATCATTGTATTATCATCAAGATATTTATTGTGCTTATTTTATAATAAAATTAAATATTAAAAATCATTCCTTTTAAACGTTATACACATTTATTATACCCGATTGTACAGTAAGCACTGTACAACTAGGTGTACAGTAAGCACTGTACAACTAGGTGTACAGTATAGTTTGTCATTTATTATGCTTTAATGTATCAATACTTTTTTCTATAGTATTTCAATTATAAAGTCAAAGTTATTTTTCTCATTGTGTAAACTTAGAGTACGGTAGATTTACATGTAGTGTAAATCCCCTCTTTGCTTTTTTCTATGCTTTAATGAAAAAATTCACCCCTACAATAGCAAAAATAACGCCCTCTTTGCCTTAAATCCTGGATTTGTCCTTGATCTTATTAGCGTGTGGGCCTGTGACCGCCATAATAATAATAATAATAATAATAATAATAATAATAATAATAATAATAATAATAATTACTTCGTATTATTATTATAATAATTATTATAATAAGAACGCTGTCTAATTTTATTTAATGACAGCCTTAGTAAAACAAAAAGTATGCATAAGTGCACTACGAGAGAAAATGTGAGAGTGTGAGTTATCTAATGAAACAATGGCAAGTGATCACCTTCGAATTTATATTGAAAACTCTTTTTAGTATTAGCTGAATAATTAATAATTTATACTATGTGAATTGTTTTCTCTTGCAGGCAACAAAGGAAATAACTCTACAAAAACAATCACTATTGTTGTAGTTATCATCATTGGAATTATAATACTTATCATTGCAGCCCGTTGTCTTTTGAAAATCCAAAATTCCAAAAAGGGAAATGATAAATTACAGCATACAGGTTAGTAGTTAGACATATTGACTTGGAGTTGATTAACTTGAACTAATATTATTGTACAAGTTACAATGACAATATGCTATTTAAATATTTGTGTTGTAGTGTCTAATAATCTCCCTCCTATCTGCATGTAGATGTGATTAGTATCTTAAGCGAGGAGTTCTCCCAATACGACTATGGTACTATTCAAGCTATTACGAATAATTTCTCCTCTCAAAGTATAGTTGGTGAAGGTGGATATGGTTTTGTTTACAAGGTAAAGAATTTAGCTACTCTGTATTTGTTAGGGAGTATTAGGTAATTGTGTTACTAGAATCAAAATGTATATTTTGTACTGCATGTGTTAATCCAGCACTTTCCTTTCCATACTATTATACTCCTCAATTGATAATAAACTAATTAATATGTAGGGAAAACTCCCCGATGGACAAGAGGTAGCAATAAAAAGACTTTCAAAAAGTTCAGAACAAGGCGTTCAGGAGTTCAAGAATGAGGTTGAAGTTGTCGCCAAGCTTCAACACAAAAATTTAGTAAAACTGTTGGGATTTTGCTCAGATGGTGAAGAAAGGATACTTGTGTATGAATTTGTGCCGAATAAAAGCCTTGACTACTTTTTATTTGGTTAGTCCTACACTTCAAAACTCTCATTTGTCTTCTCAAATAGTTTCAACAGTCATTGCGAAAGACTAACATATTATATGAGCATATTTTTTGTATGTTTAGATCCCCAGAATCAACACCTTTTGGATTGGTCAAGACGTTATAAGATTATAGGAGGAATAGCGCGAGGATTGCTTTACCTTCACGAGGATTCTCGTCTTAGAATCATACATCGTGACCTAAAAGCAAGCAACATACTATTGGACACAAACATGAATCCAAAAATATCTGATTTTGGAACAGCAAAAATTTTTATGCTTGATCAAACTGAAGAAAATACATGTAGAATTGTTGGGACATAGTAAGTTGGTGCATTTTACCTTTCAACTTTTTCTTGATCCTTGAATAACATTGACATTTACATTTTGGTGTGTAAGAGTTTCATTTCATAAAGGTCATTATCAATAAATACATGAAAGTATCCGTAGTTTTACACTCATATTGGATCCCTCAAGTTTTCAATTTTTCTGTGCATTTCTTTGCAGTGGTTACATGCCCCCCGAGTATGCTTTATACGGAGAGTTTTCCGTTAAATCTGATATCTTCAGTTTTGGAGTTTTACTATTGGAGATTATAAGTGGGATGAAAAATCGGCGTTTCTTCCTAATTAAAGGCACAAAACACCTCCTTAGCTATGTGAGTAATTACTTTTATATGTTTATATTTTCTGCATTAAGAAATGGTCATTTACTTGTGTTATACTATGTATATAATGGCCAACGTACTTATGGAGTTTGAAATAATGATTGTATTCTAGGCATGGGAACGATGGAAGGATGGCACACCATTGGAAATATTGGATCCAGCGCTTACAGAATCCTACAAAGTAGAAGAGCTCATCCAGTGTATTCACATTGGTTTACTTTGCGTTCAAGAATATCCAGAAGAAAGACCAACAATGCCAGAAGTAATGTTAATGCTTAGTAGTTATTCCATTTGTAGTTGGCCAAAACCTAGTGAGCCTGCATTTTACCGCAGTGGAAGTGATGGGATGCCTATAGAGTACTCTGCACCGCTTGATAATGTAACTTCACTTTCTGAACCATCTCCAAATTAAGATTTACTTTCATGGAATTGAGACTGACATGGGCTGAGTATATGTATGTAGATGCAAATTTAAGTTTTGAGATGAATATAATGGGATTCAGTCATTCAATATAAAATATTTAAAAGTACTCTGCAGAAATTAATGTATGAAGAATGATCATGGTAAGTATTTATTACTCTCCGTAATGAACACTGGATTTTGTTCCACCGAGCAAAAAACACTAGACTATTGATCTCCATTTGTACTAAGGCTTGTTTGTTCAAATTACAATTTAGTGGTTTAGTTTCAGATGATTTCATTTGGTTTGAATAGATACGACCTAGTCTACTGTGTTAAAGATTAAGTTTGTGATTACCCATAGTTTAATAAAAATGAGAATTACTGAACAGGCTCTAAAACAGAATGAGAAAGAATGAGGCGTAAAGGTATAACGAGGAAGATATTTAAATACAAGCAAAAAATGAGGAAGGAGTTTGGGATGCTATTCTCATTAAAAAAAGAAGCTAAAATGCTAAAATAAAAATAACTCTTATGAGCACCTTGTGGTTTGAAAACATCTATGCAAACACCCAAGCAGGAGCTCACATTTCAAAACTCATTCCAATAAAAAATTGACATTTACCAGAACAGATACTATAAGAGCATCTCCAATGCTAAAACGTGAACGGTGCATACGTGGTATGAGAGATAGCCAATAAAAAAATAATAAATAGAATATCTCTCTCCTTATTTGAAGAATCTTGTATCATTTTGGTAAGTTTTTCTTCACAATGTCAAGCACAATGTCTAGATGTATACATTGTGTTTGACATTGCAGAGGAAAACTTACCTAAAACACATAAAACCGTGGAAAGAATGAGAAGAAATGTCATAAATTCAATTTTTTGTGTCTATCTCTCTCATGCCACATGTGCACCGTGCACATTGTAGCATTGAAGATGCTCTAAGATCAGATAATTGGATGGTTAAAATTGGATTTGTTAATATTCCGTACTTAATACTAGAGCAAAAAAACCTTACTCTTAATATGAGATAATCTATAAAATAGGATTAATCTAATGGTTAAAGTTTCTTTCTTTCTTCATTAGATTCATCATATTACATTCTCATTTGAATTAGACACCTACTTTACATATTAATCGTAATTTATGACGTCAATAGGGTCCTACTACTATTGACTGTTCTAGCTGGGTGTGTATTTACCCTGCCTTTTGACTATAGCAGTGAATGAAAATCTGAGTTACGTAATTAATTAATAATTGTCCAAATGATCGATAGTTCACTCGTAATCTCCTCCATGTTAGGGAATGTCCTCTACTTTTTCATCTCCTTCCTTATGGCCCACTACGCCGCCGGGATTTCCTTCCAACCCGTCTCATATCGGTGTAACAATACCGACACTCCAAACAGCACTTATCGATCCAACCTGAACTCCCTCCTCTCCACTCTGGGCTCAAACGCCAGCCGCCCAAACGGGTTTTACCACTCAGCCGCCGGAGATGGAAACGCCACCGCGTACGGCCTGTTCTTGTGCCGCGGAGACGTCTCTACCGCCCTCTGCAACGCGTGCGTGAGGTACGGCGGCGCAGATATAATGCAGCGGTGCCCACACTACATGTAACACCGCTCCCAATTTAAACTTGGATTTATTAATCCATTGGTATTAAAATCTGAGTGAAAGTACAAATACCGATTTATTAAATTGTGGGTCGGACCCCAAACATGGGGAGATACTAACTAATATATTCTTGGACATAGATAAATTAAATAAAAAGCCCAAGGATAAGGAAGTAAGTAAAATATAATGGTTTGGGCCTAATAAAAGGTAAAGAAATAAGACGAGAGACTACTTGAGTCCACTTACTAAATAATAGAAATGTATAGGGGTTTGAGCCCGGGATATTGGAGGGGACTATCCAATACATTTTAGGACCGACCTACTATGGTCTACTAGCCAAAAATGATATAAATAAATGAATGAAAGTCGTTAGGCCCAACCGAGATATATCAAGTAACCAAAATGGCGTTCTAGCCCATATTGCCGAAAATAGCACGTATAAGGCTGAAGGGTTTCCTACACTTTAATTCGGGGTATTCCGTATAAAGTGTAGACCATAATCAACGGGAGGATTAATTTGTAAATAGCTTCGGGCCGGATTAATTAAAAGGAAACAGCCCGTGAACCGAACCCAAATAAAACCGGCCCAACTTCCTAAAAATAGAGGATAAGGGAGGGGAGTCTCCTTATCCTCCCATTTGGAGAGCTTGGTGCGTAAGAATAGAGAGGGGAGAGAGCTCACAAAAAGCTTCACACGTTCTTGGAGCAAGGAGGAAGAAAGAGGAGGATTCCGGGAAGAAGAGAGCTCGATTCTAGGTAACCGAATGCTAATCCCGTTCAAACTAGTTATTTACTTCGTTTTGTGAATATGATTTTTAAGAAATCATATGTGGGATTAATGAGGATGTTCTACACGTTTAAAAGTGTGGAAATATGATATAAAGTGTTGGTAATTAACTTAGAAGAGTTATTGAATCGATAGGAATCGAAATCGCCGGAAACCGCCACTTCTAGGTGCTGTTTTCGTGCAGCAGAACCCGAAAGCCGGGCAGCTTTTGCAAAAGCCGGGCGGCTTTTGTCCTCTGCCAGCCAAGGTGGATTCAGATCATTCCCGATCGAAGGTTTAACGACGGGGCTTCAATAGGCAACCTTGCTGGACTTATTTAAGGTGAGGATGGCTGACTATATTGTCTATAACTCGTGAGTTGAGCATGAGATTACCTAAGTAATCAAATTATGATTTTGATGGAATTAAATGATATACTCCAATGTGAATAAATGTGTTGCTATGTGGTCATATAAATTGATACATGATATTACAAAGGTGAATGAGCAAAGGCATTATGCATGAGGGGAGAAATCCTTGAAATATATTAATTATTGAATTGATATAGAGGATTAGCATGATATAGACAAATGTTGATAAATGTGTGATTCCATAAGATCTTAAAAGGGATATATGGATACCTATGTGGATAGGCAAAATGATTAAATGTGAAGTAAGGAATACTTGAGTTATTGACATGATCAAAGTGATATGAATCCGTAGTGATTAATTGTATGTGCTATCTATAGTATTGAATTAGATAGGCATGAACTTAGAATGAGTGATGGACTATGGTCACACTCAAAGGAAATGGTGGAGTCTACCTAGACTATATGAAGGCAGCCCGGGGAGTCTGGATGAAGACTAGCCCGAGGTTGATAGATTATGATTGCTCGTGTACAATGAGTATACGGGGATATATATACGGGGTGTGTAAGCCCTAACGAGATAAAGGATATTACGCGGGGTGTGTAAGCCCTACACGAATAAAGTATTACGCGGGGTGTGTAAGCCCTAATGAATAAAGTATTACGCGGGGTGTGTAAGCCCTAATGAATAAAGTATTATACGGGGTGTGTAAGCCCTACATGATAAAGTATTACGCGGGGTGTGTAAGCCCTAAATGAGTAAAGTATTACGCGGGGTGTGTAAGCCCTAAATGAGTAAAGTATTACGCGGGGTGTGTAAGCCCTAAATGAGTAAAGTATTACGCGGGGTGTGTAAGCCCTAAATGAGTAAAGTATTACGCGGGGTGTGTAAGCCCTAAATGAGTAAAGTATTACGCGGGGTGTGTAAGCCCTAAATGAGTAAAGTATTATACGGGGTGTGTAAGCCCTACACAAACTAAGAATATACGGGGTGTGTAAGCCCTAAATGAATCAAAGATATTATGCTGGGGGTGTAAGCCCAAAATGAATGAATACACCCGTAGGGTGGGTAAGTCCAACGTGGACGAGTACAAATGATAAATTGCGTAACCCTCTCGATGGAGTTGGGTTTAGACTAGGGGTGGGATAACCTCTCGATATTGCTATATGCAAGAATAGGCCAAGGGCTGTACAAGGGGAATTGTTTTGAAATACAAATGGACCTACGGGTCGGCTATTTGACTTGGTATATATATTCTATACAAGTGATTTGAAATGGGGTAGCTGTAGGTTATGCCCATAATATAGTATCACCCTATTTTGAGGGTCTTGTGTTTGAAACATGAATTATATTCAGTATAGTTGTCATTGTACTTGTCAAATGCTTCCAAGTACTGACCTCCCCTTCACGGGGGAGGCCACCTCACAGTTTCAGGTAGAAGCTAGAGCTTGCTTCCTGTTCCCGTTGCTTCGGGTGATCCATGGAGAGAAGACGTGGTTCGTGCTTCTTCCAGTTCTATTTTGATATAAATAAAATAATGCTCATGGACTATTTTTAAATTATAAATGATTTGGGAGCCTGCGTGCTCATGTTCGCCCTGTGTGGCCTTTTACTTTTAAAAATATTTGTATTCCGCTGCGTATATTTGAAATGCTTTATTTATGATTGTTTATGGATGTACTTGTGTGAATGGTATTCATGTACGCCTAGCATGGTTCGAGTAGGGTGAACTGCGGTTGCCTTAATCGGATTATGCGGCGGTTGTTAGCGCGTCCGGCCAGACCGGGGCGTGACAATTAAATGGTATCAGAGCCTTAGTCCATAAACTTCATAATGAAGTCCCTCAAAAGTGTTTTCTTCAAAATGATTTTTGAAACCATGAGCATAAAAGTTTTGTGCTGAAAGAGCCTTTGGTACTTGAGTTGCAAAGTCTCTAATTGTTAAGACGGGCCCCTTAACAATTGGTATGGCGGTGATTTGAGCCAAGTGGTGTCTTAAGTACTTATCTGTCAGTTGACATTGAAGCGAGTCTGATGACTCATTCCAAAAATTTCTTTCAGAAATGCGAGGTGGAGGCATGATGACTAGGAATGATCGGATAGGGCGTGCACCGGGAGAAACTGGGCATGCCAACCGGGGAAACTCTAGAGTATCTAGAGGAAAAGGGAGAGGCCGAGGAGGCCAAGGGATCCAAATGAGGGATAACGCACAGTTTGAGACCGAGTATAGGTCTTGGGAGTCCGAAGAAGACTCAACGTATAAACCCGAAACAGAACCTTCTGAAACCTCATATGATGAGGGTGATGATTTTATTAGTGAGGAGGACAATGATGTCTCCTTGGATGGAATTAGTCAGGTATTTGAAAAATACCAACGTGAACGAGAACAAAGAAAGAAACAACGCCAAGAGAGGCAAATTGGGCAAGTGGCTTCCAAGAGGGGGAGTCGTGACGCGTGCG